AGTTTCGGGGTGTCCCAGTTTGGGGGTGTCCCCGTTTCGGGGTGTCCCCATTTCGGGGTGTCCCCGTTTCGGGGTGTCCCAGTTTCGGGGTGTCCCAGTTTTGGGGTGTCCCAGTTTTGGGGTGTCCCCGTTTCAGGGTGTCCCCATTCCGGGGTGTCCCCATTTCAGGGTGTCCCCGTTCCGGGGTGTCCCAATTTCAGGGTGTCCCCGTTTTGGGGTGTCCCCGTTTCAGGGTGTCCCAGTTTGGGGGTGTCCCAGTTTAGGGGTGTCCCCGTTCCGGGGTGTCCCCGTTCCGGGGTGTCCCCGTTCCGGGGGGTCCCCGTTCCGGGGTGTCCCAGTTCGGGGGTGTCCCCGTTCGGGGGTGTCCCCGTTCCGGGGTGTCCCCGTTCCGGGGGGTCCCCGTTCCGGGGTGTCCCAGTTCGGGGGTGTCCCCGTTCGGGGGTGTCCCCGTTCCGGGGTGTCCCCGTTCCGGGGGGTCCCCGTTCCGGGGTGTCCCAGTTCGGGGGTGTCCCCGTTCGGGGGTGTCCCCGTTCCGGGGTGTCCCCGTTCCGGGGGGTCCCCGTTCCGGGGTGTCCCAGTTTGGGGGTGTCCCAGTTCTGGGGTGTCCCAGTTCGGGGGTGTCCCCGTTCGGGGGTGTCCCCGTGTCACCTCTCCGATGACGCTCAGCACCCCCCGCAGCCGCGGCTCGGTGCCGAAGCGCCCGGGGCTCCTCTCCAGCGCCGCCAGGACGCTCCCCACGAAGGCGGCGTCGTGCAGGGGCTCTGCCCACACCGGGCCCCCCAACTTCCGACGGGAAAAAACGGGGTTCAGGGCCGGGTTTGGGGGTCCCGAGCCCGGGGTTGGGGGGGGGTTTGGGTGGGGAGGGGGCTGCACCTGGTGCCGCTGCTGGCAGAACTCGCAGGAGGGACCCACGGGCGGCCCCGTGGCCGCGCTGTACTTGAACCTGCGCAGGGGAAACGCGCTCAGAGCCCCCCAGAATGGTCCTGGGGGGGGCTCGGGGACCCCCAAAACCCTTAGGGACACCCCAAACCTCCCTGGGACCCCCCAAACCCCTCCTGTGTCCTCCCAAAGCCCTCGGGGACCCCCCGAAACCCTCGGGGACCCCCCCAAACCCCTCGGGGACCCCCCCAAACCCCTCCTGTGTCCTCCCAAACCCCTCGGGGACCCCCCAAAACCCCTCAGGGACCCCCCAAACCCCTCTGGGGGGGCCGTACCCGCTGCCGTGGCTCGTGGCCCTGCCCT